ATACCATATTTTCCTCTTTGCTAAAAAAGATCATCATCTTAGCCACCAAGCTGTCTGGAAAGTCCTGAGTTCCTTCTAGCTATCAGCCAATGGCTCTCTTCTCTGGGAAGAACCTTGGGGCCACACTTGGAATCCCAGCTACAGGAAGGCCAACAAGAGAGGGCTCCTTGGGCTGGCTCTCACCCTGAGAGAGCTCTGTGCCTGCCTTCCTCAGAGCCCTCCTAGACGGGGCCTGTCCTTGTCCCATCATGAGCGCTGACCACCTGGTTCAGGCTCTTCTGCTGCGGATCTGTTCCTGGCCAGACTTTCCCCCTGGCCATGATTTCTCCCATTGACAATGGAGGACTTGGCAGGGGGCAGGGACTGTTACCATCAGCCTAGCATGGATCTTACTGTGCCCAGCCCTCTGTCCTTCTCAGATCTGCTGAGTCTCAGAACAGGTAAATCAAAGAACAGGCCACCGAGTTCATTCCCTCAGGGCAAGTGCCAAGGTCACCTGCAGCCACAGCCAACCTGAATGACTAGGTGGCCATGGGGGAAAGCGGGGATGACTAGGGAGCTTGTTTCTACTGTCTCCTAAGGTCAGTAGTGTCCTTCTGCTGTGCCATTTATTCTTGGATGTTTTGTCGTGGTGGTGGTAGTGGTAGGTCCTTTGGGGTTTGTTTTTAGATAGTTGCTGCTTTGGGAAGTACTGTTCCTTGTTCTTACTCCAGAAGCATTTCTAGTGCAAAGTCTTAACAAGAGATCGATAATGTTATTATCAAGCTCCTTCGAAAGCATAAGTTAGTCAGCTAACCTTTAAGAGATAGCAAGACCACTTCTAACTGACTTGGTTATTCAGTAACCAGTAAGGGGTTGGCTCCGGCGGGGAGGGGAACTCTAAGAAATGCCATTTTTGCTAACAAAGACTTAGAGGGTCATGGGGCAGCCAGCTCCACCTGGAATGGTCTGGGGGCCTTTGGTCCTTGGCCTGCTGGCTCAGCCCAGCCCTGCCCTGAGCTCCCATCCTTCCCTTCATAGCCACCCTGGCGCTAGCCAGGCAAGGCCAAAGTTTGCACATTTTGTCCCCTGATCCCCTTCTGAGACCTCTTGATTTGTGAGGAAGTGAAACCTACGGGTTCTACATGTGACAAGAACATGTTAGCTGACTTGGGTGGGTTAGTGTGACCTGGCAGCCTGGCCTCAGCCTAACTGGCCCTTACTTGGACCCATGTCCCCAGGCCCCTTTGGTCAGTGTACCCTTGGCCTTTTTCTCAGAACAGCTGACAGAGAGGATGGAAAGGAGGAGGAGGCCTAGCTCCAATCCCTCTGCGCCCAGCTAGGGCAGGACCCAGAGTGTATCCTTCCACGTCCCTGGAGTCCAGGCAGGAAGTCCCAGCACCAAGCATCACACAGCACAGCTGAGAACCCCCTGCCCCCAGGAGTCATGACTGGCCTGCAATCTTGGGTATCAGAGCTTGGCAAGAAATCAGGCCAGACCCTGGAGGATGGCAGGTCTGGAATCTCAGGATGTTATAGGGATCCCCCTGTCTCTCCTAAGGACCAGGTGGGAAGGCCCCAGCAGCCCCCTACCTAGAGGCACTCAAACCCACCCCAGGAAAGGGGCGGGCTCCAGCAGCCTCAGGGGATCTGGGGAAGAGGAGTCCATGCAGGCATCCAAATCTCTACCTTCCAGGTGAATCTACCTGGAACCCCCACCAACCAGAGGGGTTTGGTCCCAGCCTTTGACCCCACCCTAACAGAGCTGACTCAGCCCCTTCAGTTCATCCTCATCTGAAAATCAGAAACATACTGCTGTCATTTTTAAGTGCCCATTGGAATGTCAGGAATGATTGAAGAACTATTATATACATCAGCTTCCTGTCTGCAGAAAGGGGATAAACTCAACTTTTCAGATAAGCAAACAGATTTAAGGAATGAGACCAGTTTCTGCCTGAATCCTAAGTCCCTGCTCTTTTCTCTTCTAGACATCAGCTCCTTGCAATACACCACGTAGGGTCCCTGGGGATGCTGCCATGTTCTAGGGTATAGCTGGCAGGATGGAAAAGGCACAGGGAATTAGCCCTGCTCTTCAGTGAGGGGGCCTGATGGGCCTTCTGCCAAAATCCACAGGGGAGAGCCCTGGGATTTTATCTGGCTTGGCCTGGATGGTGTCCAAAGTACCCTGGCCTAGGAAACCCCAGCCCCCTCACTGGCTTCCCATCACCCTCAAAAGAAAGCCTACACTCCATGGCTTAGCACCCAGGGCTCTGTGTGGCCTGGCCCTGCCTCCTGCATAGGCACACCCCCTTCCATGCTTGGCTCTGTCCACCTTCAGATATCCTGGACGACACAGAGTTCCCCAAACAGGTAGTGTTATTTCATGCCTCAGTGCTTTTGCACACACTGCTTCCTCTTTCTGACTTATCCTCCCTGCCCCAGCCTGACCTGGCCACCTCCTACTTGTTTTTGAAGAGGCAGCTGAAGCCCCACCTCCTGGAATCCTGATGCTTCTGTCATCCCACTGGGCTGGGTGTCCCTCTTCTGTGCTCCCACATTACGCAGGGCCACTTGCAGTCTGTCCATAGCATCGTGACACCAGTTCTGTCTCTTTCCCCTGACCCGTGCACTTAGGTCTCACCCCCTCTATCGTTTCTCTTCCTATTGCTGGGTCCCTAGCATGATGCCTGGCATAGGATGGGCACAGAGTGGACAGGAGAGCAGTCTTGTTTCTGCCAAAGAGAACCAGGATGTTAGAAACAGGTATGACTTTGTCTGCCCTCTGGCCCAACTCCTCCTCCAAGGGTTGGGAGGGCCAGGACTCCAGACAAAAGGGACATGGAGCAGGTAAGAAGAATACTTGGACCACAGGCAGGAGACAGACAGGGGAGGGGAGCTGAGGTCCTGGATTGAAGCAGCATGGGGGGGGGCGTGGAAAGAGAAAGGGTGCTGGCAGCCACGCTGTCCCTTTGAGCTCCCATTGCCTCTGCCCAGCCTTGGAAAGGCTCAGCATATGTTCTGAGGTGCACCCTGGTTCCCAATCAGCACTAGGGCTCCAGAGCTGGCAAGGGCCTTACTGTCAGGCCTGTCATGAGAGAATAGTCATAGCCAGGTGCTCCTGTGGGGCCTCAAGTTCATGGGGATCTTTCAGACCCAGAAAGGATCTGATTTGTCACTAAGATCAATGAACAAACATCCCAGCAAGGGCCCTGGCACATCCATGTGGTCAGGCAAGGCAGGCTCAGCTGAGCCGGGACTCCAGTGAGAGTAATATTGTGTTCACTCCTTTAGTGAGATAGATGGGGTTGGTGCTATCATCCCTGTGCAACCGATGAGGAAACTAGAGGCAGAAAAGTCTTAGGAACTTTCTACATGGGAACTTAGTGAGAAGTATCACTCACAGTGCCTGCTCCCCCCTAGACCAGGCAGTGTGCCTGGCAGGAGCCCCGGTGGGTGCTGTCTGTAGGCTACAGTTTTCTTCGTTGAAGAGGCCAGCTGGGCACCCTCTCTAGATTATCTCGGAGCATTTTCCTTAGGGTTTAGAAGTCCCTGAAGAAGTCATGAGTCATATGGCAATTGGTGGAACCCAGAAAACACTGCTGCCACCAGCTTGCTGGTGTCAGTCACCGTGGCAGGCACCTGTACCCAACTTCCCTGTACGCTCATGGCCTTGGAGGATCTCTGTGATCTACACACCTTTGGAAACTGGTAGCCAGAAAAGCTGCCTGGAATCCAGACTACACAGTTGGAACTTCATTCTTTTTTTTTCTTGGCCAGGGCTGGGTTTGAACCCGCCATCTCCGGCATATGGGGCCGGCGACATTCCTTTGAGCCACAGGCACCGCCCTGGAACTTCATTCTTGATGGGATGGAAAGGCACAGAAAATTGTTTAGGCAAAGTAATGGAGAGGGCAAGTGCAATTTCATTCTCTCAAGAAAGAGAACTGGGGGCCCCAAGTGGGAAGGTCAGTCCAGGAGAGGCATGGGAAGGGGCCTAGTAGCCCAGTTTAAATTCAGTCTTCATTGAAATACCCCTGGGTTTCACAAGTGGTAGCCTGCATTGCATCCTGGCCTGTTTGATGGAAGTGAATCAGGGGTTTAGAGGCAGATTCTTCAGGAGGGCAGAGTGAGCACTCAGTATTCTGCTTCAAGTTCATGGGGCCAAGGGATGGAAGGTTCCTCCCACTCTTCTCCACGAGATCTTTAATGAGCCAAGGTTCTGGGTCTTTCCTAATACCTCATCCTTCCTCCTGGGCGGAGGATTCATTCTGAGGTCTGTTTTCCATGTGCTTTCTGCTGACTAGTCTCAGCTGATTGTCCTTCTGGGGAAGCAGACAGTGACTCAGGAGGGCTCAGAGGGTCCTTCCCTAGCCTCTGGAGTGGGCACAGTGGAAACTGTCAGTGGTGCTTCTGGAGTGTTCTTTCCATCCCAGACCAGTGCATGGGATGAGCTGGAGGGGTGGAAGAAGGTGCATGTGGCATGTGAGCCACAGATGGAAAGAATGAGCTTTCTGTCCAGTGGAACGGATGGACTGGGACTGGGAGGGAGGCTTGGGCTCTGTCACCAGCTGCCCCACTGCTGCCTCCTTCCCACAGTTTGGACTGAAGCAGGCCTAGGTCTGCTGTGTTCTAAGCTTAAAATGAGTGTGGATCTCACTTAAAGACAAACCCTTCTCCCACCCCATTATTTCTGACATTTTAAAACCACTCAAATCCCTGCCCTCACCTCTCCCCCACACACACACCCAAAGGCCAGAGAAAAGCAGAGGCGCTGGCAGGCGGTGGGCAGGAGGAGGGGTTTGGTTTCCACTGGTGCTGAGCAGGGTCTGTCAGCGGCCTCCCTGAACACCCCAGCATCTATTCCTAGCCTCCCTTTAACCTCTGCCCTGAGGAACTTGTGTGTGGAAGGGGAGCCTGCAGGAAAAGGTTGGTGGTGCTGAAGCTGTGGGGCTGCCAGACAGCCCAGGTAGCTGTGACCAGAGCCAACTTCCTGCTAACACTGACACCGTCTCCTCCTGCAGGTTCCGAGGCTTCGTTCTGCTGCTGACCTTCCTCATCTATACCTGTTACCACATGTCCAGGAAGCCCATCAGTGTGGTCAAGGTGAGGCTGGGCCAGCGGACAGAAGAGTACAGCAGATGCAGGGCCCTTCCACAGAGGGGTCCAGACCTCAGTCCAGAGCATCCTTCCTATTCCCTTACCACGGCCACCCAGTCTGTTCTTCACCCTGGAGGGCTCCCACTTTTTTTTTTTTTTTTTTAGTAGGGCTCCCACTTTCAGTAGCTTTTTTCCCCAGGTGCTCCTTTCAAGTTTATTCACAAGTCAACCATAGTTGGTGGGTGCAGTTGGAATAGGAGAGCAAGGATCCTCGTGGGCCTAGTATGGCCAATTTTCCCATAGTCAGCTCCTACGGAAGGAGGTGCTAGCAGAGGGCAGCGTGGGATCCGGTGGTAGGCAGTGGCACGGGTGTGGTTGGGGCAGGAGGTTGCCTGTTCCCCTCTGGGGAGAGTGGGCTCTGAAACAATGACATGACCTCTGACCTGTCATCCCATTGCTGCTCCAGAGCCGGCTGCACCAGAACTGCACGGAGCTGATCAAACCCATCAATGACAGCCACAGTCTCAATGACACCACGTGGTGCAGCTGGGCCCCATTTGGTAAGAACAGGGCAGGTCTCTCTTCCCAACTCCCCATCCCTTCCTCCTCAAGGAAGGGTTATCCAGAGCCAGAGCAGGCCTCCTGCAAGGGCAGATAGGCAGCCAGCTTTCTGTCTTTCCCATCTGCTTTCAGACAAGGACAACTACAAGGAGTTATTGGGGGCCGTGGACAATGCCTTCCTGGTGGCGTACGCCATTGGCATGTTCATCAGGTAATGAGAGAGGCCCAGCCTGTGACCGAGCAGGTAGGACAGCTCAGAGCTGCTGCCTCCCCTTGACACACCTGGGGCAATCCCACCAACCTTTCCTCTGCTTTGGGGATCTTGAGTAAAGGTGTCCAGGGGCATCTGGATATGATCCTGAAACTCTGGGAGACAGATGGGGTCTGGAGCTCTGTGGTTGAGCGCTTGGTTAGCGTATGGGTAGTAGGTGAAGCCATGAAAGTGAGGCACGAGACTGCTCCGAAAGGCAAGTGAATCCAGGCGAGCCAGTCACGGGGAAGGAAGATGAGCAGCACTGCCAGGGGGGAAGCAGGTCCAGAGCAAGCTGGGGGGCACTGAGGTCACCCTGACACATCGCAGACAGAGCTCACAGCGTGCTGGGGAGAATGGGGTGGTGGAGCATTGAGGAGCCCACAGGGAGGGGCCTGACCACAAACCCTACTCTCCTCCACAGTGGGATGTTTGGGGAGCGGCTCCCCCTCCGCTATTACCTCTCGGCAGGAATGCTGCTCAGCGGCCTCTTCACCTCCCTCTTTGGTTTGGGATATTTCTGGAACATCCACATGCTCTGGTACTTTGTGCTCATCCAGGTATGGGTCTCTGTCTCCCACTCAGGCCTCTATTCTCATCTCAGAAAGGACCCTGGAGACCGCTAGTCCTCCCCAGTGCCCCCAGGCCATAGCAGTTTAAGACTGGACTCCTGTCCCCTGTCTAGCCCTCCTCTAGCACACTACACGGGGTCCCAATCCCATGTGCCTTCATTTGCTCAGTGACACTGCCTTGAGTACTGGGCTAAGGTCACTTCCCATGCACTTAGGGCTTGGCCTCTGCCTAAACAGTCTTGAAGTACAGGAGAAGCCAGCCGGTGATGTCAGGGTGTGTGAGGGACAGCAGTGTTTGCAGTATGGGGTGGGGTAGGCCCTCAGCTTTGCTATTGAAGCTTGTGTACCCAGAGCAGTGGGAGTGTGGAGCTGGCGGCATGGCCCAGGCCTGTTCTCACTACTCTGCTCTCCACAGATCTGCAATGGACTCGTCCAGACCACAGGCTGGCCCTCCGTGGTGGCTTGCGTTGGCAACTGGTTCGGGAAGGGAAAGTGAGTGTGCCCATGGAGGAGCAGGAAGGATCAGGAGGGCTAGGATCCCACGGCTGTCACCTGTGGCCTCTAACATAATTGGGGTGGGGGGGCAGGGGGGAAGGGAAGAGGAGAGCCCAGCCTCCTTGTCCCTGATGTTCACACACTGAGACACAAGGCAGCATTTCAGTAGCTACAGAGCAGGGCTGACTTTCCCGTGGACAAGACTTTAACCCATAAAACAGGCAACTTTAGCTATGCTTTTTTCTCATAATAGATGAATTTCCATTTTGAATGAAGACAAAAAGAAGCCTATAAAACTGTTCTCCTCGAACTGGCTTGTGTGCCACAAAAAATTGTTTTAGAGCTGGATTCCTTACCCTTGGCATTGTTGCCCCCCAGGGCTGTCAGACCCTGGCTTGGGGGCTGTCTTAGGCATTGCAGGGTGTTCAGCAGAATACCGACATCTGCCAACTGCATGCTGGGAGGACACCCTGAGTCGTGACCATCTCTAGCCATTACCAGATGTCCCCTAGGAGGGTCAGAAATCACCCCTTACTAAGGATACTACTTTGGAGTGAAACCATGGGGCCTATACCCTCATGGTGGCCACAGCTTTGTCAGTACTTGCCCAGGGAGCTAGGAGGGGGACCCCCTCGTGCAGCTGCTGCAGTGTGCCTCTCTTTTCACTTTTCCTACTCCCCCCTCCAACTGTCCCCTCCAGACGAGGCCTCATCATGGGCGTGTGGAATTCCCACACGTCTGTGGGCAACATCCTGGGCTCCCTGATCGCCGGCATCTGGGTGAATGACCAGTGGGGCCTGTCGTTCATTGTGCCTGGCGTCATCACTGCTGCCGTTGGTGTTATCACCTTCCTCTTCCTCATCGAATGTGAGTGGACCTCTAAGTGCTTCATTTCTGGGAGAAGGAGCTGGGTTTGCTGAAAGCTTGCTAGCCACAGAAGGGGGACCACTGTGTGACTTTGGACAAACAACCTCTCAGAACTTGGGTTTTCTTGTTTGTAAAATAACAATAATAGTACAATCATCACTGGATGATTTTTGCAGGTTTAAGTGAGACACCAGAGTTTAAATGCCTGGCCCCACATGGGTGCTGGGCAAGCAGCAGTTGAAACTGAGAGGTGTGAAAGTGGAAGGTGAAATTCTAGGACATTCTTATTGTAACCATGTCTTATATTCAGCACAGACAGCCTTATTAGCTAGCCCAGGCATTATAGCCACTCCTGAAAGTAAAATAAAAATAAGAGCACTGAAGTTCCAGAGGCAATGGTGACACCACAGGTTGTTAGGACAGCCAGGCTCAGACACCTGGTCTCCTGAGCCCCATTCCTGCTCCCTCCTACAGTGATCTACACTGGCCACCTTAGGGACAGGAGGTGGGTCTGGCTCCCAGGATGGGTCAGCTCCAGTGGGAGCTCCTGTTGGGAAGCTTCTTAGAAGGTTTCTTTTTCCAGACCCTGAAGATGTGGACTGCAGCCCTCCCCAGCACCATGTAAGTGGCAGCAGCCTCCCCCTGCCCTCTTCCCCCAGAAGGTGGGACCCATGCAGGCTGCAGCCCTGGCCACACAGTGACTTCATAGGCCCAAGGTCAGGCCTTAGGTTGGTCCTGCACAACCCGATGGGCCTGGCAGGTCAGGAGGGCCTGGGAGAGAGACGTGTGCCTCTTCCAGCCTGGGAGCCCCAGGTCTGTCCCTGGGCTATCCCTGCAGCCAGTGGGAGGGGGTGCACGGACATGCCCAGCAAAGGCTCCTCTCCTCTGCTCAGGGTGGGCCAGACGAGGACCAGGATAACCTTGAAGACCCTGGGAATGGCCTCTACTCTAATAGGGAGAGTGGCCTTAACACTGCAACCAGATGTTCCAAGGAGCCCTGTGAGGAGCCTTCTGCCATCAGCTTCCTTGGGGCACTCCGGATCCCGGTGAGAAGTGTGTGGAAAGGATGGACAAAAAGGGCTCTCTAGACTTTCCTGTTGGATTATCAGGAGATGGAATGCTTGGGTGATCTACAGTTTCCAGAATTTCTTTATAGATGTGTTAAGGTGGGTGGCTTACTCAGAAAGATTTGTCTCAAAACAACATTGAGCATCAGCCACATGCTTGGGTATCTATTGGGGCTGCTTGGTGTGGCAGATGAGGGAAAGTTCTGGGTGGTGTAAAGAGCCAGCCCTTGGGACCACTGCTGAACCAAGGATCTATGGCTCCCTTTCCATCATGTCCTCTGTCCCACTCCCCAGGGTGTGATCGAGTTCTCTTTGTGTCTGCTTTTTGCCAAGCTGGTCAGTTACACCTTCCTCTACTGGCTACCTCTGTACATCTTCAATGTGGGTGAGTGCAAGAGAAGGTGTGGGGAAGGGGTCTTGAGGAGGCCAAGTCCGTCTCTTGTAGGAAAGGAGGCTTGTCTTGTCATGGTGACATAGGTGATGCCAGTATATAGGTAGGATTACCCTGTACACAGAACCCTAGACCCCAACCCTATCTTGGACCTGAATTGAGGACTAGGCAGCCTGCCCCACCCTCCTCAGCCTCTAGGAACCTCTAAGCAAGGCCAGAACCTTTCACCCAACTCCCCCCAGCCAGAGGGGGGACAATGCCACCAATGGCATACTCTAGGAATTAGTCACCACCAGGGCTTGAGCTGTAGCTCTACCTGGGGCCTCCCTCTGCAACAGTGGAGGAGTACTAGGGCAGTTTCCTGGACACTTGACTCTGCTCTGTGGCCTTGATGCTGACTTCAGAGTAGGAAGCAATCTTGAGGTTTCAGTTGGGCTACAATTGGAGCTTCTGGACATTCCTTTTTCTAACCCTGGAGCCAGGGCCTGTGACTCAAAGCCCCCATTTCCCTGCAAGTTTCCTTCCTGGCTCTGTTCATGAGCACAGGTAGATGTGAGCAGCTTCTAGTCCAGCCTGAGGCTGGGCAGGGCTGGAACTAGGAAAGGGCTGGGCTGAGGGCTCAGGGAGGGCCATGGTGCTCCAGGGGAAAGGTAGTGGTAAGGCAGGGTTCTCAGGGGCCAGGTCCCTGGGCTTGCAGGGGAGGCTGTTCTGAGGGGTCAAGATCACCCTGCAGGGGGCCAAAAGGGTGTCAGTCCCAAACTGCAGCACACTGGCTCTGGGAGCCTAGCTGGTCACTGCTCCGTGAATTTTGGCTCCTCCCTCAGGAGAGTAGGTTCTAAGCCTGGTCAGTGCTTGGCAGGGATCCTGCAGGCAGGGTCTGACCTCATCTGTTTGTGTTCCACAGCTCACTTTAGTGCCAAGGAGGCTGGAGACCTATCTACACTCTTTGACGTTGGTGGCATCATAGGTGAGGCCCTGCCCTGCTTTGCCAGTAGGCTGCCTTCCTGTTTTCTCTTGTGTGGGGCAGAAAGAAAGGACAGGCCTATTGTGGTGCAACCTGGGCAGGTGGCACTAGAAAAAATACTGCCTTCTGGGTTTATTCTCATTTCTGCTCCTGGCCAGCTGGAGCAGGAGGATGGCCCTTGAGTTTGTCCTCCTGCAGCAACCAGGTTCTTGATGCCAGGCCCACGCCAGGGCAGGGTGGCCTGATGATGTAGAGCTGGGCACAGGTGAGGGGATGGCAGGGCCTTGTGTGGGTGGCAATGTATGAGTGGGTGTGTGTTCCAGGCGGCATCGTGGCAGGGCTCATATCTGACCACACCAACGGCAGGGCCACCACATGCTGCATCATGCTGATCTTGGCTGCCCCCATGGTGCGTATAACCTCACGGGCAAAGTGCGTGTATGAGCAGGGCCTGTGCGGGCCTCTGCCTGTGTGCCCATGTGTACCTTTCTGCACATTGTTATGGGAGGAGAAGCCAGGTCAACAGAGGAGCAGTCACCTTGGGAAGAGATGCAGATTGAGGATTTGGAAAGGGACAGTGACTAGCTGCCCTTGGTGGAGAAGAGGGAGAGCAGTGGCTAAACCTCTTGACCAAGAAAAGGAGAGGAGGTTAAGGGTAAATGTGAGAGGAGAAGGGGAAAAGGGAAATAGCAGATGGCCATGTTCTGGCTGTGTGAGGAGAAAGGACTAAGGTGACCTCTGGGGCTCCAGGGCAGGGGACGGCTGAGTCAAATTTCGGGGCTCCAGTCTAGCAGAGCTGAGCCTGGCTGTGACTGTGCATCTCCCTCTCCTCTCTCAGATGTTCCTGTACAACTACATTGGCCAGAATGGGATCACCAGCTCCATAGGTGAGAAGAGGTCACAAGTCCTTCTGGCCACTGCCCTGGGGCCCCATGAGGGGCCATCGGTGGAGGGGGCTGGGAAGGCCAGGGGCCTGGGGTGCTCCTGCCACGGGGCTGGGACTTGGCGGCCCCTCCTCTCTGATGGCTTGTCTCTGCTGCTGTCCCAGTGATGCTGATCATCTGTGGGGCCCTGGTCAATGGCCCTTATGCACTCATCACCACTGCTGTTTCCGCTGACCTGGTAAGCTGGGCACCTCCCAGGTACCAGGGAGCACTCTGAGGGCTGGTCAAGGCCACTGTCTCTGGGTCCATTCCCTCTTTCCTACTCTGCATAGGCAAGACCCTCAAAGTTCCTCAGAACCTACCATGGGCCCCTCTTTCCTCTCTAGCCCGCACCCCAGACACCACCTTCCCCAAGTCAGCTCTTCTTCTGCCTTGTTCACTTGTGGGGTGCTGCCATGCAGCTGGAGCTCCCCTCTGCTGTCTCTTCCCAGGGTACTCACAAGAGTCTGCAAGGCAATGCCAAGGCCCTGTCCACTGTCACAGCCATCATCGACGGTACCGGTTCCATAGGTGTGTGACTAGCCCCAGCAGCTGAGCCTTGTTGTGGGCAGCCTCCCCCCACCCTGCTACACTGCCCCCTGGTGAGCAGGTGGGGGGTATGGGACCCCCTTCCTCACAACCTTGGGCCCCACACAGGTGCTGCTCTGGGGCCTCTGCTGGCTGGGCTCATCTCTCCCACGGGCTGGAACAACGTCTTCTACATGCTTATCTCTGCCGACATCCTGGCCTGCCTGGTAAGAGTTCTGGGGGCACAAAGAAGGGTACTGGGGGATGCTCTATCCCCCCAGATGGGAGGTCCAAAGCACTGGCCATTGGGGGTTCCGGGACACTGATAACAGCTGCCCTTGCTGAGGCTACTCTACCTCCCATGGGTGACCCTTAACACTGGGAACCATATGCTCAGTGCTAATGTGCCCTCTCTCCCCTCTGGGCCCTGGGCTTCCCACAGTTCCTCTGCCGGTTGGTGTACAAAGAGGTCCTGGCCTGGAAGGCATCCCTGACCAGGAACAGAGGGTAAGTCCTCCAGGGAGCTGAAGCTGCCCCTCTGCCATCCTCTCATCTTAGGGGAATCTGTATTCAGTTTCCTTAAACTGAGCAGTCAGAGCACGTCCAGCCCAGAGCTGGGGAGTGCTGAACCAGCCCCTGGATGTGCCAGTCAACCCCCACCACGCCCCATTCCTACTAACCTGTCTCTGTTGTCCCCATGTGTCTCCATAGCTCTAATCTGGTCCTAACCCAACCGCGATAGTATTTTCCTCAAGTCCCATGACTTTTGTGAGTATTTGCTTCAAGTCTGTGACTAAAGTGCTCTTAGAGTGCAGGCTGCATACAAATGCTCTCTCCTCCAATGTGATAATTTTCTAACTTTCTCTTTTTTCTTGGGAGCTTGTTCTAAAGATTCTCAACCCAAGCAAAGCATGGGGCTCAGGAAGGGCTTCCCATGGGGTCTGAGATGCCCTGGAGGCTGGCAGCCTCTTCCTCGGAGGATATACCCCTAGGACAGGAGGCAGAGATGGAGAAATTGTTCTCCCTCTCAACTAAGACTAAGTTGCACGTGCCTCCTGTGTTCAGAAACCAAGGCCGTCTGGCCCTTCTGCCTGGGTTATACAGAAACAAGCAGCTACCAATCAAAGCCTCTCAAAGAAAATTCAAATCAGGTGTTGGTGGCTGGCCTGGTGTGCTCTCTGCCTGTTGTCTGGTGGTGGTGGGTGTGGAGGTGGCAGGGATGGGTTAGTGGCTGAGGCAGGGGCTGGCTGAGGCTGAGCCAAGACCACCTGCTGGTGCTGGTGGTCTGGTGACCCCTCCCTTGGCCCTTCTGAACAGGAACCTCTGGCTAATGAGGAGCTAATGCACCTGGGCTAGATGGCAAATGTGAGGAGGACCCCCTGGGGTCATGGTGACCAGCTCTTACCTGACGAAGGACTTACCCTTAAGGGAGACTTCATTCAGGGAGAAAACTGGAGAGCAGGAAGACCTGCTGGAAGCTGGAAGCATTCTGAATAGTACCCATCCTGCCCTGCCCTGGAGGAGGGGGCAGGGGAAAGGACAGAGGCAGAGCTCCCTGCACCTGAGCCCCTTGGGGCCAGGCTTGAAGGGAAGCAGGAAGGGGAAGGCAAGCAGCAGATGGTTAAAAAAGGGATATTTAATGAGCAATTTTTCTGTCTGCAATTTTGTCCAGCTTTAGATATATTATCATAGCTTCTGTCTCAGCAACCTCTCAATCACAGGAGAGTATGGAATTCAGGGAATATGCCCAAGGCCTCAGCTCCTCCCAACACAGCCTGACACTGACCCAGGCCTGTGGGAGTAGTTTGCTTTTCTGTGTATCACCACTGCCCCAAGCTGGTCCTCTGTAGAAGGCCTATGTGTGTGTGGTGGCAGGTGTCGGTGCTTTATTAGAGCAGCAAGAGCACTGAGCTATGAATCCGGAATCTCTGGACCAGGGGTCCTCAAACTTTTTAAACAGGGGGCCAGTTCACTGTCCCTCAGACCACTGGAGGGCTGGACTGCGGACCCCGGGACGAGTCAGCTGCTAAGCAGGACTGGCAGCGTCAGCAAAAACACCCGGCGGGCCGGATAAATGTCTTAGGTGGGCTGCATGTGGCCTACAGGCCGTAGTTTGAGGACGCCTGCTCTTGAGGGTCCTTCCTCAAGTTCTCTGAACCTTCACACCTCTATGTATGAATGGGTGTGCTTGTTCCTAAATACCCAGCAGGGTTGATCTCAGGCCAAGAGGAAATGGGGTAAGGTCTGCCATGTTGTTTTGTCAAGCTGTCAAATGCTGCATAACTGGTTTAAGGTTGTAAATCTCATTCTTGCTTGTTATGCCTCACCCAAGAGGTAAAAGGGGGCCCTAATTATAGAAAGCAGTGATGAAAGGCAATGATTAAGGGACTCCAAGAGCCTGCCTTTCCTCTCCCACCTGGCAGGAGCTTATTAAGTTGTGTCTCACTTTCTCTTCCATCACCTCTCTCCTCTTCATGCAGGTATAAAGAAATATGAGGCTCCCACTGGAAGAGAAACATGGAGGGTCCTGGCTGGGTCCCCAACATGCTCCCCTTAGGCAAAATAAGACAATGGAAACTTCCACAGATGGGGGAGGCAAAGCCAGCCCAGCCCAACCAGAGGGCTGCTGAGGGTACAGGAGATTGTCCATGGGAAGGGGACTGCTAAGCAGGAGGAAATGGAAGACTCAAGAGCCTGAGTTCTGGAAGCTGCAAGCAGAATGCAGGGGACCAGAGCTGAGTGGTGTCTCTATATCAATAAGGGAAGCTAAGTTAAGCTCAGACTCTTGCTTGCTTATTGAGATTCAAAGACAAAAGCTCTAACAGGGCCAAGGCCTGGAAAATGTGCATCTCTCCTTCTCATGGTAAATTTTAATCTCTGTAATCAGCCTTTACCTATAGGTGGGCACCATTTCAAAGGTGCTCAGCCTGCCTTTGTCCCTTTGTCCAAGAAGTAGTCTTCTTCTTCTCTGTGTATTTCCCTAAGTTGGACCCTCTTCTCCCCTCCACTTGATCCTGTGCGTAACTCCATTACCCGCTCTGCGCCGAGCACCACGGCTGTCCTTTCTGGGCCAGGACTAGGCTGAGACAAGGGACCTGCCTTGGCACAGAGCGCAACGGGCACTCATTCTTGGGCACACGCTGGCCCTGAGAGTGGAGTGCTGCCCTTGCCTCACTCCAGTCCCAGTCCCTGTCCCTGGTGTCCTCAGTGGAAGAAGACGTCGGGGCTAAGTGCTGTGGGGACAGTAGAAAGATGGACTGGGCATGAGTAAAAATGCCAGTGTGTGTATTCAGTGTTTTGAGAATGAAATGCCTGTAGCACACCAGCTCTACTCTAGGAATGAAGTGGACAATGGACAGAAAAGCATATGTGCCCTGGTGCCAGGGTGCCAGGAGACAAGAGTAGGAGAAAATGAGGGCACTGCCTGGTTTGTTCTGGCAGCTGCTGACTGAGAGTTGTTCGGTGCCATGTGAAGCCCCCTTCTCCCCAGTGTTCCCGACACATGCCTCCTTTCCCCCCAAACCTTGCTGACTGTTGGCATCTCCGTCTGACCCTACAGCCGCCCATTGGCACCAATACAGATTGCCGATTGCCTTTTCCCAACCTGCCTGTGCTTGTTCTTGGTAGGGCCTGGCTCACCCAGAGTGAGCAGGGCCCATGTGGATTGCTGAGTGCTGTCCCAGGACCATAGGGTCAGTGTAGAGGGGCTGGTAATAAGAGACACACCAGAGGAGCAGCTCCTGACAGTGATGACACATGGGGCAAACCAGAGCGTAGAGTGCAGGATCCAAGCGCTGCACTTCCCGCGCCCTGCACAGGCTTGTGTTTGCTGGATACACCAGCCCAGGCACTGAGACGGACCGTATACAAACAGGGAGAGCTTGGACAGGCACTTCAGCTCTGAAAGCAGGAGTCAGTCAGGGACTCCAAGGCCTCAGCCCAGAGGGGCAGGAGCTGTGCATCTATGCCCTTATGTTCAGCATTCACCAAAGCTGCTCTCAAGACCAAAAAGATCTGTCTGCCATCTTCACGTAGGAGGGACCATCCTAAGGAGGAGCTTTGCTGCTTACCTGAGCCACTAGATGGTGACACAACACCATGATAGACCCCGGGTGGCCCTGTCCTGCTTTCGGAAAGAGAGTTAGGAGCCAGGTTCTTGGAAAAAGACTTGCAGCTTACTTTCTGCTGCAGACAGGTCAGGGTCAGAGGGAAGGCTCTCTCACAGCGTCTCCACTTACTAGCTGTGAGCCTGCTTCCTCACCTAGAAAATGGTAACATTACCTGCCTCATAGGTTTGGTGTGAACAGAGACAAATACATATTAAACACACTCCCTGCCCTAGAGGAACTTGTCTAGTTAGGGGCTACAATAGGAATCTGAAAAGACATGGCTCAGGTTGAGGGCTGCACCATCCATGGATCCAGCCACCATGAAAGTATAAGGTTGGCAGGAGGGGGATTCTGGCAGCAATGAGAAGGGTCCTTCTTCCTTACAGAGAATTCAGAGCACTTGGATACTCAGTTTGATAAAGTAACAAGGGGACATGGATGAGGGAGGAAGTTAACATGAGTAGTTATCAAGCCCCTACTATGTGAGTCATTAGGGACCGAAAAAGGCACACAAGGCATGATTCCTGCCAGCGGGTAAGTGTGGCTCCAGACAGTGTAAAGGGAGCTCACAGGCCAGCTTTGGAAATAAGGACTCAGGCTATAGGTGAGGGTTTGGGTAAATACCAACAATTTAGGGGAGCCCGAGCCCTGAAGTCTGCTCTTTGGCATCCATCTCTCAGGTCCCAGAACCTTGACCCTCCGGGGAAGGAAGCTCTGGGCACTGCTGGTTTGCCAGAGGCCTGGTACCTGCCTCTTCTCTGGGCCTCAGCACTCACATGGGGCTAATGCAGGAGCATTACGTTAATTAGTTATTCATTTAATTTAACTTCACATTTGGTCTCAATTAAGCTGAAAATGTTCTTCCTTATAGTTGTTACAATAGCACTTGTAATTAAAAAGCAATAACTCTTTGCATATCTCCTTTAGAGATCCATTGGGAGGCTGGGCTGATTGAGGGGAGTTAGGGGAAGAGGAGGAGGCAAGAAGCAATGAAAAGAAAGGAAAAGCAGCTCTGGATAGATCTTAGCACCATGAGGTTACTACCAAGACTGAGGCTGGAGGAGGAACTCTTAAAACAGCATGGGTGTCAGGGTAGGGGTGGGAAAGGGGCTGCTGGGAACCCTGAAAAGTGGATACAGGCACAGACCCTACATAAAGGAATGAGGGTAGGGAGGAGGGGAGAAGGAGGAGAGGAAGGCAATCTGAGAGATGAAAGGTGGGAGGTAGGGCAGAATGTGCCCCCACCCCAAGATGTCCACTTTCTAATTCCCAGAACCAGTGAATATGTTACCTTACCTAATCTTACAAATAAGGATTTGAAATGTGATTAAGGATCTTGAGGTGGGAAGATTATCAGGGCGGGCCCAATGTAACCATAAGATTCTTTATAAATCATAGAGGGAGGCAGGAGTGTTAAGAGATTGGAAGTTGCTACTCTGCTGGCTTTGAAGATAGAGGAAGAGACCACTGACCAGGGACTGCAGGTGGCCTCTAGACACTACAAAAGGCAAGGAAATGGATTCTCCCCTGGTCTCCGCAGCCTTTACTGTAGCCCCATCACAGCAATGAGAAGGATCCTTCTTCCTTACAGAGAATTCAGAGGACTTGGATAGATAGTTTGATAAAGCAGCAGGGGAAGTGGATGCTTTCTGGCCTCCAGAAATGTCAGATAAATCTGTATTGTTCTAAAACAATAAGTTTGCAGTAATTTGTTACAGCAGTAATAGGGAACTAATAGTTCCTAGTAATATTCCCAGTGTAAAATGATCAGTTTAAAGACCAAAACCCCCAGGAAAACAGAAGAAATCCTCAAAGCTTAAGACAAGTGGTGGGGCCGGCACATGGCACAGCATAAATGCTACCTGTGTAATTACTCCAAGAGTTCTCTGAGGGCGGGACCTCAGCTAATCCCAGCACGACGTGATAAAAATCATAAACTTGTACTTTCTCACTCTGTCTGTGGCACTGGGCCCTGATTTGATCCCACTTGTCATTTCTTAGGTCCAAGGGAACTGTGTGAAGAAGGTGGGGTGCAGGGACTCAGAAACAGTTTTTCTCCTTGAGTAAACAGCAATCACCAATGATCAGAAATGGAAATCAAGTAAAAAGCAGAACAGAAAAACAAAAAACAAATAAAAAACTCCTCCCCAAACCAAAAACATCATTGGCTCATGGCTTTGAGTCTTCCATTGGCACCTCTGAAAACTAACCCAAGTATCAAAATTCCAGGAGGACAGCACTTGTGAGAGAGATTGCTGTGTCCATCCTTGAAAAGTCCACTGCTAGTGGCCATGTCCTTGGGTATCTCTGAGCAAGGGAAAGCCCAAGTCTAACTGAATGGACACCCGCCCAAACCACAGGGTTTGTCAGTGAAGTCACCTCTGAGGTCCCTTTGATTGCTTTGTCCCAGACTCCTACACAATTCCGAAGATTCTGGTTTTTCCACCAGATTCAGGAACTTTTCCTTGGTATTTCTATCAGGTGGATTTCATTGCCTGAACTGGGCCCCTCCTTTTATCGCTCTCATCTTATGGAGCAATATAGTACATGTATCATATACAGTAATTAAGAGCTCAGGCATGGGAACCGCCTGATTTCAGATCCTGTTTATCCTAGAGCAAATGACCTCAGCAGTCTCTGCCTGTTCCCTGTCTGTGAAATGGGGATATTTACCTAGTAATAGGGTTGATGTAAGGATCTGATGTAAGGATGACATAATACAGTGCACTCATAAAAATACCTAGCACATGTTTTCTGGGTGCAATACAATTGTGATTTCAGCATGTGGCAGATTAATTTCCAAGTATTGGGATGGAAACAGAGATTAAAGGTGGAACTCCATGAAAATGTCTTCCAATCCTGAAGCTTTATGCTCCTTTGAGGATAATCAACAGTTTTCCAGATTTGTTTCTAAACTATTCTGATTCCTACATCTGGAAATTTCTTTCTGTGTAACAACAGCCAAATACTTAAGCCAAGGAATTATGACAAAATGTTTGTTATTTATACTTTAAATGTTAATTAGAACTTTTTAATGAAACTTTTACCTTTTGGGAAATAGTCAGCACAGATAGCCAAGAAGTAGTATTCACCATTGTAAAAAATAAAGAGTTGTTTGAAAGCCAAAAGTGAACTTTAAACTATCTGGGAAGAGCTGCCAGGGATCCTGACATCAAGTTTGAGCCCCACTACAAACTAGCTGTAAAACATTTCAAATCCCTTCTCCCCTGCCTATTTCTCTTCTGTAAAATAATGGTAACAGGTTTCTCTACTCATTGAACAAAACCCCAAATAAAACAGAAACACTTTTTTTTTTTTTTTGAGACAGAGCCTTAAGCTATCCCCCTGGGTAGAGTGCTGTGGCATCACAGCTCACAGCAACCTCCAACCCCTGGGTTCAAGCAAGTCTCCTGCCTCAGCCTCCCAAGTAGCTGGGACCACAGGCGCCTGCCACAGTGCCCAGCTATTTTTTGGTTGCAGCTGTCATTGTTGTTTTGGCAGGACTGGGCTGGATTCGAACCCACCACATTAGTTGTATGTGGCTGGCGCCTTAGCCACTTGAGCCACAGGCACCAAGCCAACAGAAACACTTTAACTGCAATAATAATGAACTAGAGTTGCTAGAAAAGTTTGTGTTAAGGAACGGAAACGGATTACATTAGATAAAAATATTTAAAAATAATTTGGATTGCCTTCCTTCAGGGATGGAGCCAGGGAGATGACCAAGACATCTTTGATCGGCTTATTCCACAGGATCATGGTTTTATGCCCAATAGCACACAATAAATGGGGAAAGAATAGCATGTGTGTCAGCCGCAGGAATCGATGGCTATATATTCCTTAGCATCTGAACTTTGGCATGATAGTTTGGATACAGTTTTACATTAAATCTATGCTACTGTGCACCAACAGAGTGTGTCAGCGTTACTTCCATTCTTATAATTGAAAAACTTATGGAACTTATCAAACAATTACCCAATGTGATGTCTATGGTGGAGGTAGGGTGGTGTCCTGCTGGTTTAGCTTTTTGAGATACCCGTTTGTGTACAGAGAAGGCTGGATTTACTCTCCCTCTCCACCTTCTAAACAGCAGGGATCACTGGTTGGAAACAGTAAGGTGGGGAGGGAACCTGCTCTAAGGCCACTGGTCAAAGACTGGCTAGACCTCTAAGATGATTTCTGCTTATCTTGAAGGCATCACCTCTGAGCCCTGTCTCTAGGAAGGCCATGAGCATAAGGGGTGCCACATCAGAAACAGACTATAGGAGTGCCTCATGCCGAACTCCCAGTCAAATTCACTACATGCCCTTTCAGACTTCCACTTCTTCTTCTTCTTTTTTTTTTTTTTTGAGACAGAGTCTCACTTTGGTGCCCTATGTAACGTGCTGTGACATCACAGCTCACAGCAACCTCAAACTCTTGGGCTCAAGTGATTCTCTTGTCTCAGCCTCCCAAGTAGCTGGGACTACAGGTGTCAGCCACAATGCCCAGCAATTTTTTCTTTTGTTGTTGTTGTTGCAGTTGTCATTGTTTAGCTGGCCTGGGCTGGGTTCAAACCCGCCAGCCTTGGTGTATGTGGCTGTCACCCTACCCACTGAGCTATGGGTGCCACCTGCCTTCCACTTCTTATCCTGATCCCATGGGTTTCTTTTTTTCAAGGGATTAGACATGACTGTTTTGAGTATGCAGACAGAAAGTAATCTATCATTCGTTTTACCACAGCTGGTAATTATAGACTCAGGATCTACAGAAGGTAGGCACAAAGCATATTTTCTGCTTAACGCCAGCCCTTAACACACAAGCCTACCATGTATATCTGGCAAAGAAAACTAGTAGGTAGCAGTGATATTTGAGAAATATCTCTAACCATAACACATTTTTCTCCATCTGATTAGTCCTCCAAACCTCACAGCTATTATCCATTGATCTAATAGTTGGGTACATCTTTTGTAGGGAAAAAGGATGGAGTCATGGTCAGGAACCTGTAATAGTTTTCTCAAGGTTGCTTTTTCCAGCAAGTCTCTTAGAAGAAGATGACAATTGGCAGCCTTGTTTACTAGGAGTCAGACCTTCACTTGGGCAGGCTAAACATCTCTGACCAGAGACTCACAGGCACCTGGGAGCTTCTGTGCCAGATAACCAATAGCGTGAAACCCCCAGCTTACTCCATTTCCCCTAACATTTCCGCATTCTCCTTTCTCTCCTTCAACCTGCTTGGAGATGTTTCTTCTTTTTTGACCTGTGTGCCTTAGGCCAGATTAAGAAACTGTTTCCTTTGAAGCATATAAAGGCTTTCCCTATAAAGCCTTATCTGCAAAGCTTTCCCAAACTGAGTAAGATAAAGGAGACAGTTCAAGTGTGGGGTAACTATACTGGCTCTGGCTAGCCCGTGACTCGCTGGTCACATGTTCTCTCCTTTTGTAATTTAGAGCTTAGTGGCTCCTGGCGTGGCAGGACTGGGTGCCTTCTCTACCCTGACAACAGGATCCAGGAGCAGCAGCAAAGGAACAGTGGCTTTAATCTTCCTCAGGCTCTCAATCAGAAGTCTACCAACTTTAGTGTTTTCTTTCCTGTCTCAGACAGGCCCTGGAGTCTGCCACACCTGGGTTTGGGCTGTTATGTGAAGCTTGAGCAAGTCTGATAATCTCTTTAAGTCTCAATTTTTGTTTACTTTAAAATGGGGATGATTATAGATTGCTGTAAAAATTAAATAAACTTCAAAGGAATTAGCGTGCTATTAGCATATGGCATGTACTCAAGGTTCTTGTTCCAACCTGTTTCCTTGGTTCTTAGTTTTAAGCCAGAAGACCCTTTTTCAAATAGCTCTAGGAGATTGGGATCAGACTTCCAAAATAAAACCAGACTAAACTCCTCCATTTAATGACAAATTTCACTTGGTTTGGGAGATTAGACAGATATAAAGTTGTATCTAATGCCGAGAATATACCTTCCTCGCTAGTTTTGGAGGAAGAATTTCAAAGAGGAAAAGTGAGGACAACCCCAAATTAACTCTCATGGTAATTAAATACAGCACACAGAGACCACCACATCATGGCAGACAACCAGAGATACACAGCAAGGCAACCTGTTCTGTAACAGCCAAGTAAATCTGAACTATAAATACAGTACATGCAGAAAGCTGTGGCCAAGAGTTGGAAGTGAAAGTTGGCCCTTTGGCTGTTATTTATTATTATATTAGAGCAAAGTGACACCCACCACTGCCTTTATAGAGTTCTGGGGAATTATATGCGTAGAGTGGTCAGTAACCAATATCTAAGTCTTCCCAATTACCACATTAAAATCAATTTTTGAACTTGAATCTTTCCTTTCCAAATGATTCCCATCTGATAACTAAGAATTTTACATATTATCAAAATAGAGCAGGTTCTTTTATTAGAGAGCAGAAGCCAAAGTTGCTCCTTTTCCCAAAATCCACTTATTAATGACTTGATTGAAAATCTACTCTAAGCAGGTTACTATTTCCCTTTCAAGGGATAGAAATCCTTAGGTACAAGTAGCAACATCCCTCATAAGCTGGTGAGAATCTGTCCCCACAGAGACAATTTTGCAACCCTGTTTCTGGAAGCCAGGACACAAGAGATTTATCTTAGTGATAAGTGGATATTCCTCTGATCTTAAGGCATGAGGGCTGTCAAAACAAGACTCTGAATAGTGCCTTTGTGCTCATCAACCACCATCACAACCAAGGAGAGGAGAGCAGGGTTCCCCCCAACCGCGCTCAGTAGGACCTCAGTGGCTTGGCATAGACGGGCTCCAGGACATGTTGAGTGAGAACCAAGAAGAGGCCTCCAAGGAAGAAAGCACTGAGGAAAGCCAGCAGGACATAGCGGCCAATGAAAAAGGTATCCACAATCTGGAGAAAGAAGACATCAAAATGAAATTACTACTACTTCAGCACCCTGGCTCTGTCAACCTGAAATCTGTAATGAACAGGCCAAGAGTCTATTCATATTTGTAACTTCTGGCAATATCCTGCTTTGAGTCTCTTCTGTATATGGATAAGAAAGACTTTTTCTCAACTCTGAGCAGTAGATACAGGTAAGGAAAGGATGACTGAGGTACAGGAAACAAATGGCTCGATTTAGGAGGTTCGTAAATCCTTGAAGTCCTTGGATGAATTTTTTATGTTCTGAAATCTGTTATCTGAAAGAATTAATGAGAAACTTTTGTGTGGTCCTAGAAAGGCTCATTTTTGTTGTTGTTAAGACACTTATTATGTAGAATTTTAAACATAAATAAAAATACAATAGTATAATAAGCCCTCATGTACCTCAGACCCAACTCCCAAATCATCAACCCAGTGCCAATTTAGGAAGGTTCATTTTTAAAATGAAAAGGTAGCTCTTTAAAGCTTTCATCAGAAGAATTTTGAATCCTAACATTCCAAAGCTTATGGAAAATAGCCACGTACCCGAGATACTAAAACACCAAGGGGAAAGGTAATGTGCCCCAAATATTCCAGTTGGCTGCCTGACACTTGAGGCCCTAAAGCTTTTGGTCTTTATTGATAAAAAAACAACTGATGTGGGTTCTACCCACTTGTCTACTGTCCATTTCCAGAACACCTCTGTCCTGGATCCGAATGGTGGTACTTAAATGTGGACAGGAAAAAGTTACTTAATCTATAGTCCTAATGGAGTAGCACTATGAATCCAGTGACTGACTCACTGATTTCACAGAAGCTTTAAAACTCAGTACCTGTGAGAGAATCCAAAATACCTGAAAGGCAGTTGTGGAAGACAGAATAATGACCCAAAGATGTCCATATCTTGCCCAGTAATTGTGAATATATTAGATTATTTGACAAAGGGGAATTAAGGTTGCAGACGGAATAATGGTTGTTAATCAGCTGACCTTAAAATAGAAATTAGCCCAATTATCTAATCCAGGTAGGTCCAATGTAAAAGTTGAATGGGAGGCAGAAGAGAGGGTCAGAAAAAGAGAGTCAATTTCTTTAAGCCTCCATTTTTTTGGCTCAGAAAAAAGGATGAAAGCAGAGTCAGTGAGATGTTACATTGCTGGCTCTGAAGATGGAAGAAGAGGGCCATGAGCCAAGGAATACAAGCAGCCTCTAGAAGCTGGAAAAAAGTAAGGACATGTATTCTTCCCTTCTGCCTTCAGAGGGGAAGGCAGCTCCACACATCCCTTTGATTTTTAGCCCAGGGAGACTTACATTAGACATCTAAGAACTTTAACATAATCTATGTTTTGTGAGCTACTATGTCTGTACTAATTTGTTACAGCAGCAATAGAAAACTAATACAGTAGTGATACACAAAGCATCTATCGAGTCCAAGAAATGGTATGATCACTGAGATCCAAAGGCACCAAGCATAAAAAGGCTGCTGACACCCCAGTGGCTCCAGAGATTACCCCAACAGTCAACTTACAACAAAGGTCAGTTTGATGAAATAGCTTTAACATAACTTTGACCTTGGATCCTGTACTGAACATGTCTCTCGCGGGCTACATGTTTGTTCGTTCGACACGTTTCACACTTTAATTAGCCAATTAGCAGGCCTTGGGTGCAGAAGGCCCAGGCCATGTATTATTGATACAGCACTGAGCCAGGCTGCTGCAGAGGCAGCTCTCAAAACCTGAAAGCGAGAACTCCAGTTCTGCCAGCCATGCTGACGGACATGTTTTGCTCAAGCCCCATTCTTCTCTCCAGGGTCTAAAACTCATATGACAGAGAATTGAGGGACTGATTTAAAAACTGTGTTTGCTCTGTGCCCTTCTTCCAGTATTCACATATACAGCATCCAGAAATACAGCAATACTTTCAGTACCTCCCTCTTAAAAGGCAAGAATTTACCTCGGGATAAGACACGTGGTATTTACACCTTCAAAGTGCTTTCCAAATCCTGATTTAAAAAAGAAAACCCTGGCGTTTAAGTGATTCCGTAAATTTGTATGGTGAGTATTATTTCCCTTGGAGTTCTCAAAACTATTTTCCTTCAAGTTACATAATATTGTATATTGTTGTTGCTTAGTGTCAAAATGGTAACTCGGGTGGCGCCTGTGGCTCAGTGAATAGGGCGCCAGTCCCATATACCGAGGGTGGTGGGTTTGAACCTGGCCCTGGCCAAACTGTAACAAAAACATAGCTGGGCATTTTGGCGGGTGCCTATAGTCCCAGCTACTTGGGAGGTGGAGGCAAGAGAATCACCTAAGCCCAAGAGCTGGAGGTTGCTGTAAGCTGTGATGCCACAGCACTCTACCAAGGGCCACAAAGTGAGACTTTGTCTCTTAAAAAAAAAGGAAAAAAAAGTAATCCATGAGCTCTCTCGATATTCTGTTAAGTGCCAACAATGAATTTCGAAGACAGACCTCAGCTAGAATCCCTGCTATGCTTCTTGGTATATATGTGTAGCCTTAGGCAACTTGCCTGAACCTCTTATAGCCTTGGTGCTCTTACCCATAAAATGATACCTACTTTAGACTACACAGGGTTGTCCTGAGGTTTAAATGAGATAATGTAAATACCGTGCTTAGCACAGGACCTGGCACACAGCAATCCCTTAAAAGATGTTAGCTATTATCACTACTACTTAAAAAATTAAATTAAGAGTGTGTGGGGGGGGGAAGCTGTGCGGAGTAACAGGACAGAAGAGGTCAGTACCCCTGTCAAGACCCTAGAGGTCTGAGATGAGCCAGGCTGAGTACAGCCAGAGCCCCAAATCAGGAATGAACCAGAGTGAGTGGGGTTCCAAGGAAGGACTAGGAGATAGAAGATAAAAATCTACTTAAAGAAGGGGGTGCTGGCAGGGATGGTCCCAGCACCAAAGGAGCTCTCAGAAGACTGTCAGGATTGAATTCAGATCTACCAACCTTGGCTTTCCACAGACATGCCCTCTTTCTTCACCATTCTTCTCTATGAAAATTATTCTCTCTACATCACAAGTTGAAAAAGTCCACCACACAGAGCTGGCAAAACATGTTGCTCAGCAGCCAGAAGTCACTGCAGGGTCTGAGGTTCTGAGCCAGACGACCAGGAACAGGAACCCTCCCATCCCGGGAGCAGGCCTACTCCTATTCCTATCTCATTTTCCCTGTCTCCATCCCCCTGATGGGGCAGCTTTTCAACACATTGTCATCCCACTTGATACGAATTAGAGATGAGACTGAATCAGGCAAACAAGTGCCTTGTCAGGGTGCAGGTGGAGTTCAGGGTAAGATTTTTTCCTGAGTGAAGGGCAAGGAACTTAGAACTCCCTCTGGGCTTTCCCCTCAGTTGTTCGAACTTACAATACTTTTAACACATCTTAGGTGACCTGATGGCAGAGAACAAGGGCAAGACAATGGTATAGACCAAGAGAAACAACAGTTACAGCTCAGGAGGTAAAATGAAACCAACAGCTTTACCTTAACTTCCATGTCTGGGGCTGGGAATTCAGTAGCCCGGGGGAAAAGCAACAGAACTGACGTGATGATCACAGCACCAAGGATTATAAAAATGACAGAGAACCTGGGGTCGAAAAGACAGGGTATTAGAAGCCCTGTTTGCGGTTTCTTCTCTAATCAGTCAGGCCTGGCCCAGCTCTTCCTTGAGACCAGTGTTCTATGTCTCAGTCCCTTAACAATGTCCAGAGACGACCTGTCCACAGCCCCTTCATCCCACAGCTGTTCTTCCTAGGCAGGTGTCAGGTGCGTGCATTTCTATTGATTCCTGCTAATTCAATGGGAATTTGTAGTTTTTATTTTTACTTCTGCACAAAGTCATAATCAAGAGAAACCAAAGCAGCTCCTCCCTAGATGTCAACTTCTTGTTTTTAGACCAGAATACTTTAGGAAATTCTGCAACTCTTTGCTTCAGACTGACATTATCTCACCAGAGTGTCACTCTATAGAGTTTGGGGTCAGTTTATGGCCTAACCCTGTTCTGAAGTCAATGCCTGATACAGAAAGCCAAATGCTTCTTCAGTTTCCCTGGACCAGGTCTAAAGCCTCAGGGACTAGACCCAGCATCTACCATAAATCTAAACAATTAAGAAACACACACGTACAACCCCAAGAAATTCAATAGAGCGTGAAAGCAGATTTTTTTGTCAGCTCTTATGTCCTCCCATCTCCTTCACAGTGAGAACTGAAAAATATCACTTCCCTCTCCTCCCACCTCTGCTTCAGAGCATAAATAACACAGCTCATGCTTATGATAAGAGGTTAAAATGCAACTCATTCAAACTGCCAGTAATTACAAAAATGATCTCCTGAATTCTAAATGTTTAATGAACATCAGCGATTCCACCTCTAATTGCTTATACCTAGGACTCCCTGCTGGAAAGAAGGCCTTACCTAGCCATCCTGGAGGCTCTGGATAACAGCACACACAGCAGCAGCACTGACACCCAGAGCAGGGCTAAGATGAATACGCCTGCTCCCACTCCGAGCACGGTGCCAGCCATCCTGGGGGGGCAGCAGCACTTCTGCCGCCCTGTGAGCCTCACGGTCAAGTGTACTTGGTGCTCCCGGCACTGCCTTCCTGCGCACGCTGCCTGGTTTATGAAGGCATCCAGACAAATACAGAAAGCCTGCATTCATTACAGAGAATTTTTTGATGATCGGTGTGTTAGGAGGATTACTAAGTACAGGTCATCAATTACCAGAACTGTCCATTCCCAGAGTCCCTTAATGGGACTAGAAATTTAGAACCCAAGGCCTTTCTTTTTGACAGGGACTAAGAGGTTACTTTCTCCTCTAAGTGTGTCATTTCAAATTTGTTACCTGAGTTCTAATTTGACTTCTTTCCCCAGCCCACAGTAGAAAGCTGAGCTCTTTCTCCATACCAAGGTTTAAGGACTGCTGGAAGGCACCGGGGCCTGGGAGCTCTGGGGCCAAAGTAGCAGCTCTCAGGTTAAATCCATGGTATGATCTTTGACTCACCAGGCAATCAATCGCAAGACAGAAAGTTCCCACTCTACTGAGTTTTTACTCAGAAGAAAGAAAACTCCCAGTCCTTAAAGTAAAAAAACAGACATCATTATTCTTTAACATTTACTATGTGCTAAGTACTTTGCAAACGTATCTCATTTAACCACAGCAATAAGCTTCTGAGGAAAGTGATTCTATATTCACGTTATAGAATGGGAGGTGAAGTGCAACTGTGTGGGGGTACCTATTAATTTCCAAATGAGTGGCTCACAACAGAAACATTTGCTCTCAGTGCTCCAGGCCAGAAGTCCAAAGTCAAGCTGTCTGCAGGGCCACACCCCCTCTAAGAGGATCCTTCCTTGTTCTCCAGCTTCTGGGGGCTCAAGCCTTCCTGGCCTGTGACATATAATTCCAATCTCCGCCTCCATCTTCCCCTGGCATTCTCCTCTGTGTCTCTGTCTTCTCCTGCTGTCTCTTATAAGGGTACCTATCATTGGATTCAGGATCCACCCAGATAATCTAGAATGATCTTGAGATCCTCAATTACATCTGCAAAGACTCTTCTGCCAAATAAGGTAGAGTTCACAGACCCCAGGGGTTAGGATGTATACGTATCTTTTTTAGCAGGGGGAGGGCATTCAACCACCACCCAGTAAATACCAAACTATAGTACCTCCCAATTCTCCTTTTTTGGATCAGAGATGTCTTAAGCAAACAAATTCCTCCTGAGGATGCTGATTTTCTTCACTCTGATGGTTTAAATACCATGAAAATATTGTCTATGAGAAGTTTTGTCCTGAAGTTTTTGGAAAGGAGGCTCTAAGCGTGAGCTGCTAAAAAAAATTACCTTTATCCAATCAACATTTATGATGTGCCTGCCATGTAAAAAGAAAAAAGCATTGTGCTACAAGCTGGGGATGATGGAGACAAATAAGACAAATTTCCTGACAGAGCTTAAGGTCTGTCGAACACTGTCATGTAAACAACTATCCATGTGCCATTCTGATTAGTAAGAAAAGCAAAGCACAACGGGAGCTGCAATAGTGAGAAGGGCTTTCCAAGGAGGTGCTCTGCACAGGCACATCAGGGAAGAATCAGTGCGGCAAGACGACAGGGCAAGAGGGGAGGCAGCAGATGAGACCTGGTACCCACCGCCTCTCCAGCCTGACTGGGGTGCAGCTTCCCTCATTAGAGCCACCTGGGCATCGCCTCAGTACCTCTAACATGTCAAGTGTTTACCTGTCTCTGGGTCTTTGTACTTGCTGTTTCCACTCCCTGAAACTAGCCTCCAACCCCAACAAGCCTGCCACTATTTGCAGGGTTGGCTCTCCCCATCCCTGGATGAGATTTTGGCTTAAACATCACCTCCTCAGAGAGGTCTTCCCTGACTGCCCTATCAAAGGTAACCCCCAGGCCAGACACAGTGGCTCATGCCTATAATCCTAGCACTCTGGGAGGCTGAGGCAGGTCAATTGTCTTGAGCACAGGAGTTCAAGACCAGCCTGAGCAAGAGCAAGACCCCATCTCTAAAGAAAAAAAAAATTGCTGGATGTTGTAGCGGGTGCCTATAGTCCCAGCTACTTGCGAGCCTGAGGCAAGAGGATAGCTTGAGCCCAAAAGTTTGAGGTTGCTGTGAGCTATGACGCCACAGCACTCTACCAAGGGCGACAATGTGAGACTCTGTCTCAAAAAAAAAGAGAAAGTAACTCCCAAACACTTATTCCCCACCATTTCTATTTTCTTCAGGGCACTTTTCACAAATTATAGTTAACATTTTATTTATTTATTTGTAAGTTCATTCTCTGTTTCCCCAACTAGAATAGTAAACTTAGTGAAAGCAAAGACGATCCTTCTCACCACAGTAACTACAGCTCTTAGCACAAAGATTGTGCACAATAAGCATCTATTGGATGAATAAATAAAGTGGTGCTAAATAGTTCACAAAAAATCAAGTCAGGAAGTAATGGGATCAGATCAAGTTTTAGAAAGATGACCGTAACTTCTGGTCCATATGCAGAGCTGAGCCCAAAGGTCTTAGCGGCACTGGCCCCACTTAGAGCCCTTCAGAGTGCTCTACTCCTGGAACTGAGAACAATGCATAAAGTGGGGCCCTCAAAGTGCTGACCTGTTTTGAAATAGTATCTAAAAAATTTGCTGCTAAGTTAAAAGAAAGTTGGCCAAGTGCCTCAACTCTACATCTCATGAGACTGTGGGATTCAAGTCATACAACCAGTGTGGTGTGGGGATCCCAAATAGAAAGGTGAATATGAACACCAGACAAAATGGTGAGAAGCCCACACAATCCCAGCAGAGACAAAACCGAAACCTCTCTACAGGGATGCTGCCCCAAATTAGCATACTAGAGTCTCTCAAGATTGAGCATAGATCAGGCACAAGGGTTCATGCCTGTAACTAAGCACTTTTGGAGGCCAAAGTGGAAGGATCACTTAGGGTAAGAAGCTCAAGACCAGCCTGGGCAACATAGCAAAACCCATCTCCACTAAAAAAAAAAAAAAAATTGTTAAGTTGGCTGGGCATGGTGGCATGGCCCAGCTACTCAAGAGGCTAAGGCAGGAGCATCACTTGAACCCATGAGTCAAAGGTTGCAGTGAGCTATGATAGCTCCACTGCACTCCAACCTGGGTGACAAACCAAGACCCCAACTCTTAAAAATAAAAAAAAAAAAAGAGTACAAAATAAAGATGTTTCCAGACATACAAAAAGTAAAATGGATATCACCTCTCACAGATCCTCGGTGAAAGAGCTACTCAAAGATGTATTTCAACAAGAAAGATGGTGTGAATTGTAAAGAATGGTGAGAAAAATATTAGGAAACATTGACAGTAAAGATTTCTGTCATAATGACCAATTTCTGAAGGGTTAAGAATAAGGAAGAACTCAAATATTACTCAACAGTTATATGGAAGGTAAGAAAGGACAGTTCAAAGTTAACGCGTTCTGTAGTCTCTTAGAAACTAAAGAAATGCTTTGGAGGAGATGATAATGATTATCTATAAGTTGTGTTAAGTTTGCATGTCAAAAAATATACAGGTAAACATCAAATAACATAAATAGAATCAATAACTAGTAGAGTGAAACAAATGCAGGAATGAAACAGAAGGCAAGGAGGTGATGGTGGTGGTGAGGTGGGTGGACCAAAGAATAAGCAAGGAAAGTAGAAGATACAAAATAAGATTGTAAAAACAAATCCAGAGAGGACAGCAACCATAGTAAATGCAAACAGATTATACTTGGCTACTCAAAGATACTCTCTTATTTTTTAAAAAACTAGTATACAAAAGCTATGCAGAAATCATAATGAAAGTGAAGCCAAAAAGGAAGAGATTGAAAAAGACATACCAATTACAAAACAAGACTGGGAAGGAGGAGTGGGGAATGTTCGATGAGTACAGAGTTTCAGTTCTCCAAGATGAAAAAATTCTGAAGATCTGTTTCACAACAATGTGCATATATTCACCACTGCTGAACTGTATGGAGAGCCAAACCCGGCAGGATTTGGAAAAGCATCAGATCCCAGAGCTGCTGAACTATCTCACCAGCGTCCTTCTCTTTTTCTGGCCTGAAAAAAACAAGAGAGTATTTAATATCTCTATTGGAACGTCTAAGAATTGCCAAAATCACAGGTGGAGCTTTTCTTGTGTTTACAGATAACTCCAACATCATAGCTATGTTTGCGATGATGGACCCTCCAAAAGAGGCACCATATCATTTGTGTAATGTAAAGAGGCTCTTCAAACGCTGGGTCTGTGTACTGCAAATGAAGATTTAAAAGATGATGGCCATGGAATAAGTTAGGATGAATTATTCCAAACTTAGGAAGTGAACAAGAGGACTCAGGAAATATGGTCAGCATTTTAGTAACATCATACACCCAAGATAAAAAGTGATTTCATAAAAAAAATGGTTAAGATATAAAATTTTATGCTAAGTGGGGTTTTCTTAACTACAATCGGAAACAATAAGTGAAGCAAAATAAAATACAAGCTGGTCAAACAGTGTTAGTACCAAACAAAATAGAAGTACACCTTTGAAAAATACTAATAAGAACGTTTGCAAAAGGAATCATTTAGCAAAAAATAAACTTGAAACAAATATGAACCAAAATCTACATAAGGCCAAACTGACAGAAGCATGTCAACAAATAGACAAAGCCACAAATTTGGTGGGAGATTTTAATATACTTTTCTCAGAAACTCATACATCAAGCAGATGAAAAATAAGAATAAACTCTTGACAAACAGAGTGTCTAAATGCCAGTAAATATGTTAAAAGGTACTCATCTTCATTAGTCATCAGAAAACTACAAATGAAAACTGCAATTTCTATATACCCACCAGAACGGCTGCAATGAAAATGACCGACAGTACCAAGTGCTGACCAAGATGTGGAATAACTAGAACCCTCATACTACCAGTGAGAGTATAAATTGTTAACAACTACTCTGGAGACTATTATTAGCAGTATCTAATAAAGCTAAATACACATGTGCCCTACATCTAGCTCTTGTATTCCTAAGTGTATTCCCAACAAAAATGCACACACAAGTTCAATATTTACAAGAAGTTAACTGTAGCCCTATGTGAAATAGCTAAAAACTCAAAATAAGCCAAATATCCACCAATAGGATAAAGCATGGCATTCTATATATAACCTATTCGTTCATACAAGAGAATAGTGTAAACAATGAGGGTGAATTTCACAAATACTAAAAAAAAAACCAACCTAGAGGCAAAAGAGTTCATACTGTATGATTTCATTTATATGTGATTTTCACAAACAGGTCAAACTAATTTGGGGGGCTACAAGTCAGGAGTATGGTTCCCTTGTAGTACACAGTGACTGGAGGGGACATGTAGGGGATTCTGGGGTACTGATAAAATTGTTCTTTCATCTGGGTGTGGGTTACCTGGCTTTGTTCATTTTGTGATATTGTATCAGGCTATACATGTAGGATCTGTACATATCTATGTTACACTTCACCAACAAGTTTACTTGAAAGAGAAAATATTAAGAGACAGAACAACTAAATACAGTATGTGGACCTTGTTTGGGTCCTGATTCGAATGAAGCAATTGTTAAAACCTTTTAGGACAAAACTGGGGAACTCTAAACAGTATTTGG